CAAAGCAAGGAAAGCACGATTCTACAGGTCGTTGGCTAGCTGGGACCTTAATGCACGGGGTAGCTTTCAATTGCAAAACTCTGCCATTAACTTTTCAGTTTTCCATCCCAAACCTTGTGCGATTTTTGATGTCAAAAACATTCAAAAACTAGCCAATCAATTGAGAGATCTTGCAATGCCTCAGCCGAAGATGATAGCTATCCCCAATTAGGTCAGTCAGTTATTGATACTCTGATAGACTAACTGGTATGCTGATTGGTCCAATTTGAATAAGGCCCCAATTGGTCCAATTTGAATAAGGCCCCAAAAGTCCCAAAGCTTTGAAGAAAGAGGTCGCCAAAGCCAAGAAAAGCAAGGATCGTTTCTTGACGGTGGCCAGGAACATTGTCACTCCAGTTGCAGCATTGGATGTAGCGGATGTCCTGGACACAAAACCTCAGACGCAAAAAGCGGGGGCCTATCAATTGGGATCAAATTGATTTCCAACACACAGGGTGGGAACCTGATAGTTGGCATTGTGCCCCAAATCTACTAATATTATATATGTATTAATTAATTTGTATATTTTTTCATCAACATATATTCATGAAATGGATTTGCAATTTGATTTGTTCTGAGGTTTGGTGGATATGCAGAATATCTACGAAAAGTGGTTGTCTTGTGGTGAGAACTGGCAAAAAAGTACGTGGTGCATTAGTCTCACCACAAGTTCAACCAGCAGCCGACGTGGAGCACGAAGATGGATGACATTCCAGCAAATCAGTGCTAAGTACAGCAGCGATGAAATCGCCCAAGAAATCGTTGACCAAAAAATGACAGATGACTTTGAGGACCACCGCAAGCCACACCCCGACCTACCCCACAGGGCGGAAACTTTTCTCAAAGCCTTTGGTGCTGCTATTACATCACCATGATCAACACTACATCCAAGCCCAATAAAGGTTAAAATTAAACTGGTGGACACTAGACACCTCAAATTAGAGATGTATTATGCATTGCACATGCAGATGGGCTGCCGCCCAACCAGCTAAGGATATGATGCTATTTCTTGTCTGGGATGAGGAAAGCGAAGAACACCTGGACAAAACGATTCTTGGAAACAACTTTCAGGCAGAGGATTCAGGACCGGAAAGGAAGAATAAAAGGAAGAAGGAAGACACTTCGTCTAGTTCCGAGGAGGAACTAGCTGGGTTTGGGGCCGATAGGGGCTCCCTCATTTCCCCTCGTTGTACCCTCTTCTTGGTAGTGGGATGTACAAAATGTCAATTGGGAATGCAAATTTTCCAACTATAAACTCTAATTTTCATAAATGCCCAATTGCGTTTTGATTTTCTTGACGTATTTTGCAAGTTTTGGGGAATCAAAGCCACTGGCACCATTGCAATGTCAATTTTCCGTCCCACTAGATCCTGTCCAAGCAGCTCTCCACGAAAATCTTCAACTGCCAAGATCCAACGGTCGTAGATCACCAGGCCAACATAGCTCAACCCCAAAAGGAACGGAATCACGCTGTTCAGGATGCAAAACCTTGCCAGGACAGCAGTTCTGAAGAAGAAGAAAAATCAGAAGAGTCCAGCGAAAAGAAGCCAAGAAAGTCGAAAGGTAAAAAGAAAGAAAAGAAAAGCAAGAAGACAAAGTCGAAGAAATCCAAGGGGAAAGCAAAGGAAACTGAGGCGGAAAAGGCAAAGCGATTGGAAAGTGAAAAGAAAAAGGAAGATGCCAGAAAGAAAAAGGCGGAGGAACGGGAGCGGGCAGCAGAAGAAAAAAAGGCAGTGAGAGAAAAACAAGCCGATGCCAGGAAGGCACGGGATTTCAATTAATCACTTTCCTCACCCTAAGGATTCGAATCAAACCTTGATTGATGAACCAGGCCATTTTTTTCCTACTTCCACGGCTGGTTAGGTGCTCACCCAACTGGCGTCCAAAGTCCGTGATGCTGTTGAGAAGGAAAAGAGAGCGAAGAAACTGTTTCTTGACCACTGCAAACATATCCAAATGCCAACAATTTTGAAAATACATCTATTCTACCAAGTTGTACCATTGAAATCAGGTCTGCCAGGCTTGCCAGAAAAATATTTGTTTCCCAATCGGGTTCACCAATAAATTCCCAGTTAACATCAATCCATGTCCTAAGGCCTAAAGAGATTGCAGCAGCAGTTGGCAAAGATTTGGTGACCCATACCAAAAAGATGCAAAGTTGCAGGGACACGTTGCAAAGTGACTTGGATCATGATCAGGACTCGACTGATCTGCATCGACACCAGTATTGCATGAAATCATCAGCTTTCAAAGTAATATTATAATATTATATCATGTAAACAACTTGCGTTACATGAAAACATACCCAAATCCTGCATGTTGCCACTAAGAGTGAAATCAACTAGAAAGCCCCTCCAACCATATATATCATATATATCCCATATTTTTTCTTGGCCTTCAGGAGTTTCAGAAGTCCATGGAAAAGGCCAAGATCTCTATGGACGCCTACAAGAACTTCCTTGAGTCCGTTCGTCTCTAGAACTGGATGGTGTTTTGGGATTTTCCCTGAGGTTCCTCCCATGCAACCGGGGGGCAACATGCGCAAAGTGTTGAAAGCCAGTGTAGTCGAGCGAGGCCTAGGTGCTTCTGGAGATGGTGGATGATTGCACTACACCAGAAAAGTTTTTTCAACCTTATTGTGAATGATCATGATGATGATTGATTTGAGGTGATCTGGAGGCATGGAAATTCCCTCGCTAAAGCTGGTTTCAGAAAGCATATTTAGTAGGATCATGCTGTGTGCGTGTGCGGTGTCATATAGGTAGCTCTTTTGGTGGGGCGGACTGCCGTTGCTGGCTAAAACCCTGGCCCAAATCCAAAACCTTTTTCAAAGCCATTTCGTCCAGTTCATAGTCGAGATTTATTTTAAATGCATCTCATAGAATCGTGTTTGCTTGGGTTTTAGCAAGCCTAGACTTGGCAAGACCGTAGGGGACTGCTACAGATGGCAGCCACTTTCATACAGCGTGCCAATACATCAAAGCAGAGCGATACATTAAAGCAAAGTGAACCAAAAGTGCTTTTTTTGTGCTGGGTGCCCTGCATCTCTTGATTTTAAAAATCCCATTAAATGCAGTACTTAAAAGTATTGGCTGGGTTGAAAATGCATATCGAATCTATCATGCTTGCCAAATCCCTCGCAGGTCCACGCAGAAGAGCTGAAGTTGGGTCTGATGGGTATGGCCCCTTCTTCGAGAACATGGTGGACGATGTCCAGTCGGGGGCTTCTTGGTAGCAATTTTATCAAGCATCAACAAACGAATATGATCCACTAAATTCCACCATCACACTATTACAAATACTAGACTAGCTAGCACAGCAAAGATTGCAGCCTTGTTTCCAAAAAACAAATCTTAATCGAAATGCCGAAAACGATTTCTGTATGATTTATCCACTCTGGGGGTATCCCGGACAATGTCCCATTCATTTACCCTTTCAGCCAGCCCCCCAGCGATCGTCTGAGTCTAGCAGCGCACTCCGAGCAATGAAGAGAGCGAAAGCTCATTACGAGGAGCGACCATGTGTCATGTTGGACGGATTGGGAAAGCCAATGTAGCTTAATTGATGTCGTTTTGTAATTTTTGAAAATGAATGGTCTGTGCCATATTTTCTGGCCAAACATTTAGGGGTGAATGATGATACTTACAGTTTTCGAATCCACGCTATTTTTTGTGAATCATCCAAAGAGTGCCAACCCTTTTTGTTTGAAGAATCAGGAGGTGTGAGATGTCGTTTTATGTGAGTATGCATGCATGTGATCTTCCTTTTTAAATGTAACATCAAACCAACTTCAACAGTCCAAACAAATGCGTTCAAAGTTCTAAGATGTGCATGCACATGCAACCTATCGCCTGCCAGGATTCTGAGGGACGATGCCACCCCATGAGCCAGCGACTAGGGCGATTGACATGTGGCAACAATTCTGCAAGAGATCTGTTGCGGGCCGCTAAATTGGATCTAGACGCTTGAATTGAGGCTTTGCACATTGTTCTTTTTCAAGAAAGAATTATGCCATTGATGTTTCTTATGGGAGGTTAGATCATGTTGTCCAGTTTTTTGCATCTTAGGAACTATCAACTATTTCGATCCCCATAAAGGAAGACAAAGCTGAAGGAGGATTTGTCACACGCAAAATGCCAATTATCGATCCCCACAAGTTGATGCACACGTTGATCACTTCAGTTGGAATTGACATTCCTGTTCAAAGAGTTCGGGATTTCTGGCGAACACATAGACACATACTTCAAGAAGATTGGGCAGTTTGCAGTCCCGCCAGTGATGACCATATTCCATGTGCCCTTTATGGGGATTCTGCAAAGATTCGAGATGATGGAACCAAAGTGATTGGGATATTCATTTCTCTTCCTGCAGTTTGGAGACCTCAATCCTCACGCTGTGCGCGTTGGTGTATCTTTGCGCTGGAGGAACACAAACTTTTTGGGCACCACACGCTTCATGCAGTGTTTCGCCGGGTGACTTACTCATGCAACCTCTTATTCAATGGTGTTGACCCTGATCAACCAAATCGGCTTTTGTGCAACGGGAGAAAATTTACAGTGACAGAACTGAAAGGGGATTGGCAGTGGTTAAAGTGGTCCATGAGATTTCGATCATCTTGGCAGAATGTAGATTCAGTGTGTTTTTTGTGCACAGCCAAGAGTCGATCCGATGACCCTGATGAATTACACTACTGTATGGATGACAATCCCAACTGGACACATTTCGATCTGAGAACTTTTTTGGCTGATCAAATGTGTGTGACCGACCCGTGTTGCTTGCCAATGCTAAGACGATGTATTGCTTTCAGTTTTTGGTCCCTGAATTGTTTCTGGTTTTTGTGCGCTCATTTTGGGCCTATAACATACGTACACCAACAATTAACCAACAACGCGCTCACGGCTATCTAAGGTCCATATATTCTTCTTCGAGGATTTCATCCTGCGATCCTGCAGCCATGCAGCATGCACGCTATAAACTTGGGATTACTGTTTGATGTAAACGGTTCCTGTTTGAAGCTTGGTCTATACCAGGTTGTTTTTTTCTTCAACGCGAACAGTGTGCAAATGCCATGCTCACGGGAGGGGTGTGCATGCGCGGGATGTGCATAGCCTATTTATATCCTAGGATGGCAATGTGTGTGGAGAACTATTTTGGTGAGACACCGGATCTGCAAAGTCAGCTTGACTTGGCCTATGAGTCCTTCAAGAGATTCTGCAAAGCTGAAAAAAATCATTGCTCCCAGCCTCCCTTCAAAGTACGTCATGTTACCAGGCTTTTGTCATTAGCGAAACGATTTTTTTTGTTTACGCCAGGACTTTTTAAGGAAGGAATTTCAAATGGTATCAGTCGATGGGTGCATGAACACCAAAAATAGCGCCCAAAACACAAGCTAAGGTTGTGAAGAAGCCAGACCGAATTATGTTGACTTCCAAGGCCTACAACGGCCGGGTGCTTGTTGAGTGGATTTCGCGGTGCTCATCTGACTTTGCGAAGCAAAGACCTCATGATCAAAGGTTGTGCCTTTTAGCTTCATGTGCGTTTCTTGGCTGACCGCGTGCATGTGTCCGCTACACTGCTACACTTTTGAAATTTCAAATTTGGAATTTTGGAAAAATGGTTTATCTGATCTTTTGCAGTTTGCTCTAAGGGTCAATGCTGCAAGATTTCTTGGACTAAGCGAGTGATCTGGCAGAATTTTGACTGACCAACGTGCTCGAGAAATTTATGATGCCGGATATAAGTTTTGCGGGCGGTACGTCGCTTTGGCAAAGGAAGCTGCTAGGCTCGACCCACCACTGAAAACAAAAGCATATTTTTGTGAATGCGCGTACGCCTGCGCACTGGAATGTACTTAGCCCAGCCTTTGATTCAGCTTTGTTTTTACACCACACTGTCGCGCAGACGCGGGGTAGATGAGTTCCGACTGCGTCCCAAAGTGCATGCTACTTGCCTGCATATCATTATATACCCTGATTTTTTCTTGGAAGTATGTGTGCACATGCCAGCACAGTTTTGAGAATTGAAAGCTAGTGATGGAAGTTGTTTGCAAAACTGATTTGTGCGCCTAGATGGTGCTGCATATGGCTCGTGATGCTTTGCATCGCAAGAAGAATTTCAGATTTTACCACTGCTTTGGTGAAGAAGATGGAATGAAGCATCTGAAATGATACTTGGCTTTGAACCCCTGCTGGATTTCTTGTTAGATTTAAGTTTGTGTGCGCTGTGCTGTGTGTATGTGTGTGTGTGTGTGCAGGCGCACTTTACCTAGAGCCTGAATGCTGATGCGTGCGCATGTGTGCTTGCAGGTATAGCACGGAATGCCCATCCTTTACACCGATCCCGATGGATTATGTACATGATGAAGCTCCGTCTGATCAGCATGAAGGCAAAAGTCAAAGCGTTTCCTGGCTTTTTTATTTTTCATGTCATGAAGTGAGTTGTGGATGGAATGCAAAAGTCAAAGCGTTTCCTCGCTTTATTTTTCATGTCATGAACCAAATTATAGCGAGTTGTGGATGGAATTTGTGTTGCCTGCACCATGTGTGATGTGATCATCATTTCTCAGGTTGAACAAGTCGGTCAAGAAGCGTTTGAAGCGCCATCGATGATGTGGAAGAAGAAAAAAACGTACAAATCAAGCGCGTATGAGGGGGTGATAGGGGGTGTGTGAACATGTGTCAAAAAACCGTCTTTCCCCAAGAAACATACTTTGTGACAACGTACGTTGTTTATACGTCCTTTGGAACCCTTGGGAATATATATATATATAGGAATATATATATATATGAATATATATATATACGGATTTTTAAATATACGAACAGGTATTTTAGACTACCTCCGGGAAAGTTTTCCTTGGCCCGCCCAGCCATTTCAACATACGGAATCCAATTCATTTAAACATACCGTAAGTACATTTAAATATACGAACTGGTATTTCAAACTACCTCCGGGGCCTCACGGTTTGGCCCGCCCCCCACATATTTAAATGTCGTTACCGTATATATATATATATATGAATATATATATATATCTATATGATATATCATGATATATCATATATGGAAGATCTACTGTGGGGAGTTTTCTTAAGTCGTCATGGGCCCACATGGAGCCCAGGTGCCGCTCGCGGCGTCATGCTCTGCTTGAACTGAGCTTTTCCACTGAGGTGGGGATACGCCTCAGGCTTCAACAGCTTTCCACGTCGGGATTCCGATGGATTCCGGGAGTCTGGGATGATTGTTGATAGCTGGTTGGTGGTTTTATACAACCATCTTGAAACATGATGGAGTTCGTCAATGGGAAGGATGACATCCCATATATGATGGACAATAAAAGCCATGTTTGAAACCACCAACCAAATAGTTATCCCCACAAAGCGTTTGGTCCTTCACTCACAGAGAGTTTTTATGGATTCCTTGTGACAGGATGCCATTGGTTTGTAAACCCTGATAAGTATATGCCAAAATCGTACATCAAATGTTGGTTGGTCCCATTCCAAAGATATGTCTGCTATAGGACATCCATCATCACAGTCACACTGAAGGGAAACAACTTGCGATAACTTGCGAGATAAAATTACAATCTTTCCAGCCCCAGCAAAGGTCTGACCATCTTCAGTGTCAGCCATCCTTTCTCGTCATCCAGTCATTTTGCTTGAAAGTAGCTGAGTAATCCCCCCGAGATCGTGTCGGTTCACTGCAGGCAGGCTGGATGGTGTACCAAATGCCTTCAGGGAACATGCTCACAGCGCAGCAGCCACATTGCAACACATGTAGCTCCTGATCCCCGTGACCACATGTAAATATGTGTCAACATGTATCAACCACCTTGAAGACTTGGGATCTGTTCCTTTCCTTGAATCCATTTCCCAAATCTGCCATGAGTCTATAATTAACCTCACTCCTCCTGCCTTCCCGTGGCAATTGCTGTGGCGATTCCACCGGCATCACCCCTGGTGAGACCATGGGTCCAGGCCCCGGCGCTGGTCCAGGCCCCTGCGGTCCCTGCGGTCCCTGCGGTCCCTGCGGCGCCGGTCCAGGCCCCGGCGGCGCGAACATCGCAGGGTTCGGCTGTGGCTCGCCACAGGAGCTCGCCGCGAAGGAGAAGGCATCCGACGGAGCGTGGGGCGCCTCAAGTTGTTGAGCGGCTTTAGATATCCATGAGATTTCCAATTTTTGGTGGATACATGTCGATAGATTCTGTGGCGGAAACTCACCAAAATGGCCTCGGGTCTCATATCTTACCATCGTAATCTGGAAAGGTGGACATCTGAGATGCCTGCATGTATATCGAACACTATTTAACTACCTCATTAAAACGACTAATGACGAATAGTATAATGAATGATGATTGATGACATCCATCATCTAACTTATTTTACCTCATTTCATGAATGCACCTTAATCATCAATCCAACATCAGGCTCCCAGCTGATGAAAGGCACTGGAAAACCGTTCGAGCTGGGAGCAAAAGAGACCTCTGATGGTTGAGCAGCCTCGGTTGGATGTACATCAGAACCCAGCACCCCCGGAGACATCCACCATGAACATGTTTCTCCAACCCCCGTGAAGTTCAAGTCCTCGCTTCTCTATCACATGTGCCCTCCAAACATCATCAAAACAGCGAGCGGAGTAAAACATGTGGAGACTATGAGACCTAATGGATCAACCAAAAACCCTTCCGAACGCACAAGGCTTGGAACCTTTTGGGGGGATTAATTATTTGTTGCAACGTTGCTTAGTTGTGATTTTTCATTGGTTTTCAAAAGTTGGAAAAATGTGTGGAAAACATTTTTTTGTGTTTGTCAAAACACCATGTTTGAAAACTTAAGTGCAGTTTTTGCACATATTTCTCCAGCCTTTCTATGGGTACCCGTTGAAATTCCGAGTGCGAGGATGTGAACTTCGGTGAACGTTGACAAAGGGTAGACCCTGCGATGGGTCCATAGGATGCTATTGAATACATGTTGCCCAGGATGATGCCATTAAATAACATACCCTCTGGTAATTTAACGTAGCTATTGAAAATTACCATTAATAGTGGATTTTCCCATTAAAAATGGTGATTTTCCATAGTTATGTTAGTTTACCAGAGGGTAAATCGTTTTTCAGGAAAGTCATGATTCTTCAAAGAAATACCATTCAAGTGCTTTAAAAAATATGCCAATCTTGTTACTCTGGGACCTCTGTGTGGGATCCCACAGGAACTTCACCTCCGCGGATTTAGCAGGGCATTTTCCCTATTCAAATGGCCATTTTTTCGGCGTATCTCATGGTATATCCGTACCAATTTTCAGAGACCGAATATCATATGCTGGTTTAGCTCTGTATATATTGAAAAGTAATAGAAAAAAATATATCCATTCATATCCCAATTGTATCTCAAGCGAACTAGGTTGCCGAGTGGCAAATTGCTGCTGCGGGAACCCCTGGCCCGACATCGCTTGGGGCGGCGCCGAGTGGGTCGGCGGGGCTTGGGACGCCGCCTGCGGCGCCGCCTGGAGCCCCTGGGGCGCCTGGCAGTGGTGGCGAAGTCAGGCCACCAACATTACACTGGTTGGTTATACCGCAAAGGGATTACCATCATGTATATATGTATATATATATATACACATATGTCTATCTCCATCTGTAAAACTCTCTATCTATCCATCTATCTAATCTAATCTAAATCTCATCTAATTATCTAATCTATCTAGTCTATCTACGTAGTCTATCTACGTAGTCTATTTACGTAGTCTATTTACGTAGTCTATTTACGTAGTCTATTTATGTAGTCTATTTACGTAGTCTATCTAGTCTATCTAGTCTATCTATCTAGTCTATCTAGTCTAACTAGTCTAACCAGTCTATCTGGTCTATCTAGTCTATGTAGTCTATCTAGTCTATCTAGTCTATCTAGTCTATCTAGTCTATCTAGTCTATCTAGTCTATCTAGTTTATCTAGTCTATCTGGTCTATCTAGTCTATCTAGTCCATCTACAGTAGTCTATCTAGTCTATCTAGTCTATCTAGTCTATCTAGTCTATCTAGTCTATATCTAGTCTATCTAGTCTATCTATCTTTCTTTCTAAATAACCTAATTATTCTGATCAAATCTATCTAGCTAGCTATCGATCTATCTATCTATCTATTTATTTATCTATCTATCTATCCATCTATCCATCCATCCATCCATCCATCTATCTATATGTCTGTCTATCTGTCTATCTGTCTATCTACCTACCTGCCTATCTATCATGTATCTATCTATCTATCTACCTATCTATCTATCTATCTAACCTATCCTGATCTAATCTATCTAATCTATCTAATCTATCTAATCTATCTAATCTATCTAATCTATCTAATCTATCTAATCTATCTAATCTATCTAATCTATGTAGTCTATCTAGTATATCTTGTGTAATCTAGTCTATCTAGTCTATCTATCTGTCTATCTATCTGTCTGTCTAATCTATTCTGATCTATTTTTTTGGTTATCTAATTAATCTATCTATATACATATCTACATAGATGTAAATTACATAGATATTTTACACTGTATGTATATATAATATGTATAATGTATAAATATATACATACCGTATGTGTATATATATATATATGTATATACAGTATACATTTATATATATATGACTAAATAAATCAATTAAAACAAAAAATAAATAACATGAATAAACAATACACATATATCGATTACAAAAGCAAATAGACTCGTAGATCCATAAAACATAAACTGGTGATGGGACAATCCCTCTTTATTGGTTAATTTGTACCCACTTTATCCTACAACCGGTATTTATATGTAGATGAGTATAAACATATATTTATATATATCGTATGTATTAGAATATGTAATCATGCTTTCGTAAACAACTGGATAGTACTAACCACTACAATCATCAAACAGCGCAAGGGCCATCCCAGCGAAACTGACTTTAGACACACCAGGTATCTCAATTAAAGAGTAGAACTCAGCAACAAAGTCACAGATTCACTGAACACCCAGTGTACCCTGCGCACACAAATTGCTGTTGCCAATCACTTTTAGCGCGATGGACAGAAATGATTGCTCAGGACATGATTTACCGTTGGACCATTTGGGCACCCCCTACTGACTGCAAGAATTCCAAGCTTGTCCAGGCTATTGTTCGAGGCACACCTAGCCTAGACATGGAGGAAATGACACAATTCTATGGACATGAAAACCCATAACTGTAAACCGTTCGGTATATGTTCAATTGTGCTTCTCAGACTGCATTCTTTTACGACAAAAAAACTCTACACCCAAGATGCCGAAGCTCATTCAAACAAATCAAACAACTAGGCCTAGGCTTATCCGGATACGGATGGCCTGAATGGGCAGTGCCCTGGTGGACATGGGATTCCTGGCGGCATCCCTTCCCCCCCTGGCTGCATACTGGATCTGTTTCAGTTTGTGGTTCCCGGATGTGATATTGAACCCTTTCTACCTTTGTAATGAAGATCCTCAGAAAAATGAACCTGGTTTAGTGGTGGATCTGTTTCATTCTGGGTTTCCAAAATTCTCGGGAGCGCTATTCTTGTGGAAATCGCATAACTTCAAATGACCTCAGATCACAAACCTGACCGACTTTGTGACCCTCTTGAAACAACAATGGTTAGGCAACCTGGCATGATGACCTGTCTTGGCAATCCCTGTCGAAGGAAAACTCCGCAAGCGAGAGAAAAAAAAACAACAACAGTTGAAGCTAGGTCTTGTTTCCAACATACCCATTCATATTTCATGTTTTGGTGTCCAAGTCGTTGTCTTGCTTGCTTCCCCGAAACACGGACATCTAAATAGGCCCTCCCCCAAAAACACCCCCGCGAACAAAGCAACAAACACAAACTACCAGTAGCCATCCAATAGCCGTCCTTCCCCTGCACAGCCAGACTTGGCCATGCACGTGGTTGATCTTCAAGATGCCCAATGGAAGGGTCCATTCTTGCCACAGATTCTTTGCACAATCGACCTCAGATGTGGTGGGTGAGCGAATTCAAGGCTCAGAATTGGTACTTAAGTTGGTACAATGACATCATCAAGGGATCATTAAAATATATTAAAATGTCAAAGTGTAACTTATCATACAATGATAAACATAGATAAGCCATTTCTGAATATGGGTCAAACTTGGGGGGGATGGTTGACTACCATGAATGGACCAATGGTTTTCCGGCCAACATCTATTAGGCCAATCAAAAATCTTAGATACCGTGCCAGCATTCTGAAGCCAATTTTTGAGCGTCAGTATATAGAATATCCAAGTTTATAGCAGCAGATCAAGATCCACCACCGAACCAAGGTTGACCCAGTTCCCTTAGACTTCCCAATGCCGTGCAACGATGGGTTTTCCCTGTGGCAGTCGTTCCCAGAGGCTCCGCAAATGTTTCTCTGCAGGGACGTGGTCTGCGAAGCCCACACCGTTGGGGCACAGCATGCACTCGGGCCAAACGTTGAAGGAATGGAGGATCTTCTCAACGATGTCCACCTTTCGGATGGGTATATAGAGGTAGAGTCTACCAGGTAGAGTCAGTGGATTGTGTTGCAGTTAAGTGCAGTTAAGTGAATTTATAACACATTTACAAGGGTTCTCTATGGGCATCTATGGTTTTTATGGTTATGTGAATATCGCAGCTGATGGAGGTGTAGTATGGCCCAAGGCCTCCTGGCAAAACCTCACAAGAAATGTAGCGCAAATTCTGTCTGGAACAGTCAAGATCCATGATCATAACTATGGTTTCTGAATGTTTCTGGATACTGATAAACTATAACTATCTGGTTGGTGGTTTTAACCATCTTGAAACATATTAGTCAATGGGAAGGATTATCCCATATATTATGGAAAACGAAAAATGTTTGAAACCACCAACCAGATAATAGAACTATAAAGTCATATAACTATGATATATCACTAATGGTACTGAATGATCATAAACTATAATATAACATTAGTATTAATATGTACTAATGCGGTTCATGAACCAGCAAACATCATTGGGTTGGT